CTCCTGCAACAGTAATACCGCTTCAAGAAATATTCTAAACTAATTTCTTGCCTTCTTGTAGCTGAGCAAAATAATAAGCTTTTAATAAAAAAATCATGAATCTTGTCCAACCGAGTCCACTCTATTCCCAGAAGCGAATGTAATAGTAAATGGACCAACACATGGTCGTGGACGAGGACATGGACGTGCACGCAGCTGTCACATTGACCGTGGACAAGGACATGGATGTGCACGCAGCTGTCGCATTGACTGTGGACGTGGTCGTAGTTGTAATCGAGGTGGTTCAAATTCCTACTCAAAGAGGGCAAAGAATGATGAGAATCACAAAAGAAAGACTAGTGGAAGTAATAACCACTCTGAAGATTTGTGTTATCGTTGTGGTGGGAATGGTCATTGGTCATGTACCTGTCGTACACCAAAACATTTAGTTGACCTTTATCAAGAATTGCTTAAAAATAAAAGCAAAGGCAATGCAAAATGCCAAGGGTGGAAACCAATTTTGTTGATGAAGAGGGCGATTCTGATTATGGCAACATGGACGTCACTCATTTGGATATTGCTAATTTGTTTGTTGATCTTAATGGAAAGATTGATCACTTGATTGGTGATAGGAATGTTCAACAATAATATACTTTAGTGAAGTTAAATTTCTATGACTTATTTTTTCTTTTCATCTTCTTTTATAAAGTTTCTACTTTCAATGTTGTTATCTTTCCAAATTAATAAAATTACGAGTATTTTTCTTTTATTAATCTTTTTTTTTCTTCTCCTCTCTTGACTATGTTTCTTATAACGAAGAATGACTCCTATTGACATCAATCATAAAGATTCATGTCTTGTTGATAGTACAACAACTCATACAATACTTAAAAATAAAATATATTTATCTTCTTTGGTAATGCAAGAAGCCAATGTTTAGACTACATCTGGAAGTGTAAAATTGATTGAAGGCTCTAGAAGAGCCAATGTATTGTTACCTGGAGGAACAATATTATACATTGATAGTGCATTTTACTCAACTAAGTCTAAAAGAAATTTGTTGAGTTTCACGGATATCCGCAAGAATGAATAACATATCGAAACAACAAGTGAGGAAAATCAAAAATATTTTACTATTACAAAGTCAACCTCTAGTAAAAAATGCGCACTAGAAAGATTGCCCGCATTTTCTTATAGCTTGTACTACACAATTATTAGTATAATTGAAGTACATATCATTATAAAGCAGAAGTTCATAAATGATAATAAATTTAATGTTTGGCATGACCGGTTAGGCCATCCTAGGACTATCATGATGTAAAAAATAATTGAGAATTCATGTGGACATTTATTGAAAAGTCAACAAATACCACAGTCCAATGTTTTCTCATGTAATGCATGTTAGAAGGGAAAGTTAATTGTTCAGCCATCACCAGAAAAACTAGAAAGTAAGTCTCTCACTTTTCTAGAACACAGACAGGAAGATATTTGTGGACCGATGCACCCACCATGCAAACCATTTTTATATTTTATGGTTCTAATTGATGTATCAATAAGATGGTCGCATGTCTATTTATTATCTTCGCATGATCTGACGTTTGCAAGATTATTGGCTTAATTAATCAGATTAAGAGCACATTTTCCTGATTTTCTCATCAAGAAAATACATCTTGATAATGCTAGTGAATTTACTGCACAAGCTTTTAATGATTATTGTCTGTCTCTCGAGATTGATGTTGAACATCCTGTGGCTCGTGCGCAAACACAAAATGGACTTACAGAATCATTGATCAAACATTTATAATTAATTCCGAGACCATTACTTATGAGATCAAATCTCCCAATTTCTACTTGGGGACATGCAATTTTACATACAGCAATGTTAATTCGCATAAGGCCAACAAGTTATTTCAAGTCCTCCCTTTTACAATTGGTTTTTGGTCAGGAACCCAATATTTCCCATCTAAGAACCTTTAGATGTGCTGTATATGTTCCAATTGCTCCCCTACAACATACCACTATAGGTCCTAAAAGAAGGATGGGAATACACGTTGGATATGAATCTCCTATTATAATAAAGTATCTAGAACCGTCAAAAAGAGATTCGTTCACGGCTCGATTTGCTTATTGTCATTTTGATGAGTCAGTTTTTCCAATAATGAGGGGGGAAAATAAGAAGTCGGAAAAGCACATTAGCTGGAAAGAATTATCATTATCTCATCTTAATCCTCACACAAAAGAATGTGAACTGGAAGTTCAAAAGATAGTCAATTTACAAAGTCTAGCTAATCAATTACCAGATGCATTTGCAGACCCGAAAAGAGTAATAAAGTCACATACTCCAACTATTATGCTCCTATTAAAATTGATACCCCTGATGGACAACTAATTGTGAATGATTCTAAAGCATGCATGAAGCATGGTAGGCCTATCGGTTCCAAGGATAAAAATCCTCGAAAGAAAAAAGGAGCTAAAAGTATAGACGACCTAGTCAAAAATAATTTAAAAAAGTTAGCAACTCCAAAAGAGTCATTAGATAATGCTAATGTCCCAATTCTCAAAGAAAGTCAGGTACCTGAAATATGTGAAAATGATGAGATCTCAATTAATTATGTTATGAATGGGATACGATGGGACCAAAGTGAAGTCAACATCGATGATATTTTCTCTTATAATGTAGCGCTTGATGTGATGAATGACAAAGAGGATTATGAACCAAAGTCAATTAGTGAATGTAAACAAAGAAAGGATTGGCCAAAATAGAAAGATGCGATTAAGGCAGAATTAAAATCGCTAGAACAGCAAAAAGTTTTTGGACCAGTAGTCCTTACACTTGAAGATGTAAAACCAGTTGGATATAAATGGGTTTTTGTGCAAAAGAGAAATGAAAAGGGTGAAATCATAAGATACAAGGCATGACTTGCTATCCAACGGTTTACACAAAGACTTGGTATCGATTTTGAAGAAACTTATTTACCAGTAGTGGATGCAACTACCTTTCGATACTTGATTAGCCTCTTAATAAATAACGGGCCCAATTTGCATCTAGTGGATGTTGTTACAGCCTATCTGTTTGGCTTACTTGACAATGACATTTATATGAGACTCCCTGAAGGGCTGAAATTGCCAGAAGCATACAATTCAAACTCTCAAAATGATACTCAATTAAGTTAAACAAATCTCTACACGGATTAAAGCAATCAAGGCGAATGTGGTATAATAGGCTTAGTGAGTATCTATTGAGGAAAGGGTATAAAAATAATGCAATATGCCCATGCATTTTTATGAAAAGATTAGGAAATGAGTTTGTTATAATCGTTGTGTATGTTGATAATATAAATATTATTGGAACTCTTAAAGAGCATGAAAGGGCAATGAATTGCCTAAAGAAAGAATTTGAAATGAAGGATCTAAGAAGAACAAAATTTTGCCTTGGATTACAAATTGAGTATTTAAAAAATGAAATTTTTGTATACCAATAAACTTATACAAAAAAGATTCTAGGACATTTTTGTATGGATAAATCACATCCATTATGTACTACAATGGTTGTAAGATCTTTGGAGGTGGATAAGGACCCTTTTAGACCTCGAGAAATTGGGAGAAAGGTGACGAAGAGCTACTTGGTCCAGAAGTACCATATCCTAGTGCAATTGGAGCACAATGTATCTTGCTAATCATACGCGACTTGATATATCATTTGCAGTTAACTTGCTAGCAAGATATAGTTCTTCACCAACACGAAGGCATTAGAATGGAGTTAAACGTATCCTTCGTTATCTTAAGGGTACAATGGACATGGGATTATTTTATTCAAATGCACCCAAGACCGATCTTGTTGGTTATGTAGATGCTGGATTTCGGTCTGACCCACACGTCGGTAAATCACAAATAGGCTATCTATTCACATGTGGTGGTATAGCCATTTCATGGTGATCTATGAAACAAACGATATCAGCCACATTATCTAACCACGCAGAGATTCTAGCAATGCATGAAGCAAGTCGGGAATGTGTATGGTTAAGATTCTTAATACATCACATACGAACTACTTGTGGCCTGTTTTTTGGTAAAATGATTCTAACAATACTATACGAAGATAATACTGCATGTATTACCCAATTAAAAGAAGGGCACCTCAAAGGAGATAGAACAAAGCATATCTCCCCAAAATTCTTCTTCACTTGTGACCTTTAAAAGGATGATAAAGTCAATATCCAGCAAATTCGTTCCAGTGAAAATTTAACAGACGTATTCACCAAATCACTTCTAGCCACCATGTTCGAGAGACTTGTTCATGACATTGGGCTTCACAGACTCAGAGATATCAACTAACGTTGTCAAGAGGGGAGTAAATGCATGCTGTACTCTTTTTTCCTTGTCTATGGTTTTTCCCATTGGGTTTTCCTATCAAGGTTTTTAACAAGACAGCACTATGAAATATATATCAATAAATGTTGCACTCTTTTTCTTCTACTAGGTTTTATCCCATAGGGTTTTTTTAGTAGAAGTTTTTTAATGAGGCACATTTAGTTATGGACATCCAAGGGGGAGTGTTATGAATATAATATATTTATGGATGTTCATGTATCTACCATTATCTCCTTTCTCTCCTAGTATCTTCAATATCTCCTATTATCCCCATTATCAATAATTATCTTTTATTATTATGTTATCTATAGATTCTATCGAACATGTAAAGCTGTGCCTATGAATAGAGGTCATGTATAATGTATTGAGCACCCTTGAATGGAATGAGGAACACTCTCTCTTATTGATATTCTTTTCTTCTCTATTCTTCTTTATTTATAACAAAGATAATATAATATCAAATATTCCACAAATCACTCAATTAAAATAAATCATAAAAATATAACATTTTTGTCCTTTTTAGCTCTATTTTTACGCAATCAATTTCAATTCAAATTAATCATAATTAATGCATTTAAACCCAATTTAATTGATAAAAATCCCAAATAAGATATGAAAAATCATAATAAAATAATGAGTTATCAGGATGACAAGAAGCTCAACCCAGATGATTCCATCATTCTTCAACGCCACTTTCTCAAAGCAATTAAACAATCCAACATTTTTATTGTTGTCTTTTCCAAAAGCTATGCTTCTTCCGCGTGTTGCCTTGAGGAACTCTCCAAGATCAGTGCACACATTCATGAACCGCGATATATTGTTTGCTCAATTTTCTATGATGTCCATCCATCTTAGGTTCAAAACCAGAGGAATTCTTTTGAAAAAGCTTTCGCTGAACATGAACGAAGTTTCACAACAAATGTACGCAAGGTACACAGTTGGAGGTTAGCAATGAAACGAGTTGCCAATCTTTCTGGTTGGGATATACCATATCAGTGAGTGAACTTAGTCATGGTGTTTTTTTCCCCTCTATCAATTTAGTCACTGCAAAAGTGTTTAATTTGGTACTTCTGTTTTTGTTTTTACTTCAGCACATGGCCACAACTTACTGATGACATTGTTAGAGAGGTCAAGAAGAAAGTCCGTGAATTAGTTTATGTTGATACAGACCTAGTAGGAATTCAATCTCAAGTGAACAAAGTAGAAGAGCTTCTTGATTTGGGTTCAAATGATGGGGTTCGAGTTGTGGGTATTTGTGGTATGGGTGGGATAGGAAAGACAACTCTTGCCAGAGTTCTCTATGATGGGATCTCTCACCATTTTGATGCTTCTCATTTCCTACCCAATGTATCTGAATATCATATGAGCCCAGGGTTAATATATCGCAAGAATGTTCTCCTAGTTCTTGATCATGTTCATATTTACTTAAATCTACAACCATTAATCTGGATTATAGATGCCAGTTTGGTGGGGGAAGTAGAATTATCATAACAACCAGAGATGAAGGGGTCCTTGAGGCATTTAAGATGCATGATATTTATAGGGTTAAATTATTGACTAGAGATGAAGCTCTTCGATTACCGTGTTGGAAAGCGTTCAGACGTGATTTACAAATAAGAGGTTATGAGGAAGAAATAGATAATGTACTCAAATATGCTAGTGGCCTTCCAATGGCAGTCATAAAATTAGGCTCTTTCTTATATAACACAAGGGTCTCTGAATGGAGCATAGCATTGGTTGAATTCAGAAAATTCGCCAGCTTTAAGGTAATGAATGTCCTCAAAAGAAGTTTTCATGAACTGGACTTCAGTGGTCAGGAAGTGTTTTTAGAGACTGCATGTTTTTTCATAGGGAAGGGTATTGAACACGTAGAGGGGATTTTAGATGGTCATATGTACACTTATAAGGGAAACTTTGTCCTTAAAGAATATGGTTTCAAGAATGACATACCACATTTAGTTGAAAAGTCACTTGTGACTATAATAGACCAAAAAATACAAGTGCATGGTTTGTTGCAAGAAATGGGAAGGGAAATTGTTCGGCATGAATTTCCTTTGAAGCTAGAAGAGTGGAGCAGATTATGGATTACAATTATATTTATGAAGTTATGCAAAATGACACAGTAAGTTTTGCCACTATTTTTTTTTTTGGGGTTAAAACTAAGGAACAAAAAACCGGACCGGACACTAAACCGATTGAGATAATGGGTTAAGGGTTAATGGGTCAGATCGGGGTTAGACCGGTAATAATTAAAATAATATAATTTAATTACAAAATATTTATGTGTATAAATTTTTTCTTATTTTTATTTCTTTTTTCTCTCTTTTTTTTCCCCTTCACATGGCCCAATACAATCTTTTTTTCTTTATTATTTTATACTTTTATCTCTTCCTTCTCTCTCTCTCACGTGAAGGTCCATAGCACATGTCAGGTCACTTTTTTCTTCCTCCCTCATTGGATGGCCGATTATGCAAGGTCATCTTTTTCTTCCTCTCTCCTGATTGAATGACATTACTTATGCATAGTTCTCTTCCTCATTCAAACTCTGAAATTCGTTCCTTCCTCTTTTTCAAACAGCTCTCTTCATCTCTCCCTCTTTCTCGAAGAGAAACGATAAACAGTGATTTTTTTTTTCCTCTATGCACATCCATACCTTCCTCCTTGCCTTCCACTCTTCCACGAGCATGGGTTTGAAGCGGTAGACAAGAGACTTCCATCTTTTCTTCCATGATTTTTTCTACTTCTACCCCTTCTCTCAACTGTGTTCACGTCTTCTCCGGTGAACAGTGAGAAGGTGAGTAAAAAAGAAGAAAGAAGGAAAAAAACCGCTGACCCACCCAACCCACCGATTTTCACCGGTTCTTCCCGGTTCTTTTCGGTTCTTTCCGGTTTGATGTGAAGCCGGTTTATCCTTCAAACCAGACCGGACAGGAGGCCGATTCACCGGTTTTCCGGTTGAACCGGCTGGTCCGGTCCAGTTTTTTTTTCATTGGTTAAAATATTGATGTCATCATGCACTGAAATTGAAGGAACATCACTTTACATCTTTTTTTTATATGAATGTATTTTATTTTCGGGCTACTCTTAATGTTGAAGCCATAGTCTTGGATCTTGAAGATTCACAAAGAAATCCTGTAAAGATCGAAGCTTTATCACATATGAGCAATCTTAGACTGCTCATATTTTGTAATGTTAAATTTTTTGGTGTCCTAAAACATCTTTCAAAACAGCTCGAACACATTACATGGCACAGATATCCTTTCGCTTCTTTGCCATCAAGTTTTAAACCATGTCATCTGGCAGACTTGATTTTACCTAATAGCTGCATCATAAGCATATGGGATGAAGAAAAGGCACCTGATAGTTGCATCACGAGTGAATGTGAAGAAGGAAAGGTAATGTTAATTGTGCATACGCCCTTCTAACATGTACATATTGTTTAGCTAGTTGTGATCTAGTACATTTTTTTTATCCGCAGGAATTTTCTAGCTTGAAGAATATGAATCTTAGTGGGTCCACAGATTTAATGAAGATGCCAAATTTCAAAGGACTTCCATGTTTAGAGAAGCCAGAGCTTGAAGGATGTACTAAATTAAATTACCACAGCTTGATCCATTTATTGCTTCTCTTTCAACACTCGGATTCTTAAATTTGAGAAATTGTAGTAATTTAGTTAGTATTCCCCATGATTTATTTTCTCTACACTCTTTAGAAATGCTAAATTTAGCTTGTTGCTCCAAATTTGCATATTGTTTTGAGGTTTTGTCCTTTTGAGGAGCTTGGTGAAAGAGAAAGTACTCCTCAACAATCATTTCTTTGCAAGAGACAAAAACTATGTAGACAAAAATCCATTTAAGTGTATTTGGTATTCAGGAATATTATATCATACATTTGATTCATTTTGGAGTTATTGAGTGAGTTTGTTAAAAAAAAAAAATCTCACACTGCATGACATTGTGAGAAACTAAGTATATAAATAATAACATGAGACTTCGGTCTAAGGAATGGGCCTGAAAGAGGGTGAGATCTCACGTATAAGATAAAGATGATGATGACGAAACGTTCAAATTTACATATGGATTTGGGTTTGCATTTGAAACTCACGGTCTAAACACCTTTGGGGTGACAAGAGGCTGAACCCAAGTGATTCTATACATCTTTCCTCTACATTTTAATATCTTATTTTGGTGCTCATTTTGTTGGTCAAGAAATGAAAGATTAGATTTTACTAACATTGACAACTAATTCGAAATTTATGGAGTTAGGCGCATTTTAATATTAAATTAATAATGGGAAAATGACTATGAGGTCTCAAAGAAAGAAAATAATTGCTAAAAGGTCTTAATGACAAGTGAGTAGCTAAAACCTGTTATTATTTCCTACTTTAATGCTTATCATTATATTCTACTCAATTGCTATTATATGATTTTTTTTTTTTGGTTAATATGTTTCATTCTTAGGACCTTAGTTCAATTCTCCCATTAGAAAGGAATACTCATAGTGACTATTGATTATTTCACAGCATAAAGAGTCCAGCTCAATCCACTTCAAATTGATGTTGAATTTTCCATTTTGTGTTGAGGATATTTTTACTAAAACTATATTCAAGCAGTTTTTGTAATTCTGCTAAATTATACATATAAAAATAATACTACCTCCAGTGCTAAATATAAAATCTCATTTGTAGACTACAAATAAGATTTTATATTTAGGATCAGAGGTAGTAAATGTGAAGATTTATCATTAATAAGAAGTTATAAATTGTTCTTAGGCCGCTACTATATATCTCAAAACAATTCAACAATCCAACATTTCTCCAAAACCTTATGGTGCCTTGAGGGACTCTCACGCCACACACTATTTCCCAAAAATTTTATTAAAAATTAGTTTATTATCAAATCTAAAATAGAAATTTTTAATTACAACATTTAAAAGTCTTTTAATATATTATTACATTTTCTTTGCAGCTACAGATTAAGGGTCTATTTGGTATGAAGGAGATGAGAAAAAATTTTAATGACCTCATTTTAAAAATTTGAAGAAGCGGGGTTATAAAATTTTGATAAAGAGAAAATGTAAGATAAAAGAGTAATTAAAATTAATGAAAAAATTTTAACTCCACTTCTTCAATTGTTTAGAATGAGCTCATTAAAATTTTCTCTCTCCTCTTCTGCCCTCCATTTCCTTCATACCAAATGAACCCTAAAGATTATGCCAATATTTTGCTGGATTCTGGTTTAAGCTTGTTAGCTCTGTTTGGGTGTTTTTGGGTTTATTTAGGTTTTCTTTGTTTTTGCTTAGCTTTGGACCTATTTGAATTTCGAAGTTTTTCTTTGATGATAGTATTTTCTTGTTGGCACAAAAAATTCTTTTTTTCCCAAACAAAAAATAATGCTTCGAGCAACGGTAGATGAGTGATTTAAAATTTTAGAAAATGTTTTTTAAAAAAATTCTCATTCAACTTTAGTACAAGCAATATATAATGTAGGGTTAATATCATCTTTTAGTCTTTGAAATTTGACCTTAGTTTAGTTTTGATTCCTGAAATTTGAAATCAATGATTTCTAAAACTTTGTTTCATGCACTATTTCAGCTTTTCAAGAAGAAAATATCTGTAGGGGAATTAAGATAGATCAAATTTTAGGGGGCTAAAATCTCTAGTTTCAAATTTTAAAGACCAAAACTACAACAACATTAAATTTTAAAGATTAAAGGTAGTATTAACCCTGTGTGGACAAGAATGCAAAGGAGGACTGAAAAAAAATTGTCAGTCTCCCTACCACGCATATGTCTCACGTCCGTCGGTAATTTTATTCTTCGTTTTTTCAATATTAATTATTTTGAGTGAATTTTTCTTTTTTTTTTTGGTTATGTATAGGAGGTAATTTTATTCAAAGTACTACCGAATACTAAATATGAGGTCTTCTCAACCAAAACCTTGGTCTCAATAGGCAAATTATATATTTTTAAGTGAAAGTTGATTCGTACGTAAATTATTGTGACCCGTAAGTCACATGATGGTTAGTGATCACATATATAAAATTTGCCCACCTGTTTGTAAGCCGATGTTGAAAATATCAGCGAAAAGGGTATCTAATAAAATGAGTGTATATATTTGGCATGCTACGGATAAGGCTAAAGTTGGTGGCGAAAAAAAAAAAAAGAATAAGGAATAAGACAATAGTTGTTGGCCAAAAAAAAAAAAAGAAATACGAAAATAGTTAGTTGCTTAGATCAAATTACTTATATTTATTATGTTAAATTTTCAATTTCATGTGGCTATGATATATCCCATTTTTAAAATATTATTATTTAATTATAAATTTACATGAGAAAAATAGAACAAATGATTGTGTGTAATTGAAAAACTAAACATAATAAATATAAAAAATTTGATTTAAGTATTTTAAATAATAATTTAATATTAAAAAAATTAGCCTAAAAATATTTATTTGAGAATGCGAGAGAGAGGCCCTTTATTATAACTATAGTTGGAATGGGTAACGGTAATGAAGGAGATATGGAAGGAGGATTAAATGCGAAGAAGTGAGATGAACCGCAAATGCTAAATTGGGTCCTCTGAAGTTCCAGTAACTTCTTTCCTCTTAGTTTAACATATTTTTTTAATAAAATTAATTTTTATCAACATTTAGACCTAACGATACTCAAACAGAATTGTCTCAAATAAAAAAATATTTGTGTGCTTATAAATTTTTTTTAATTAACAGTTTTAAATAGAAAGAAGTGAGGAACTAACAGAGGAGCGAACTTAAAGGACATGATAAAAAAGGAGAAAACGGAGGGAACTAATTCAAAACTCATGACAGTTATGAGGACTTGAAAATTAATTTTCCCAATTATATTTAAGGACAGCTTTTTAAGAAAAAATTTGTGACAATATATATCTCAAAATAATAAATTGTAAATATTTTTTAATTAACAAAAAGGGTAAATATACATTTAATCATCTTAAATTAGATCAAGTTTTAGTTTAATTTTTTAAATTTAAAAAGTGTATTTTTAGTCACTCGATCCTAATACTCTGTGCCTCGTTTGGCAGTAAATACTGACTCTATAACCAAATCAATCTAAGGTAGACAAAAACCAAGCTAATGTAATGAATCTGCTCTCAAACGAACACTGCATCTAGGGTGAGGTGTTATAAATTGGAAAAACAAAATAAATTGAGATCTCATTCTACTCAAATCTTTAATATAAAAGTTTGTTTGACTTTTATTTTAATTCTAAATATAAGACCTCAATCTACTATGTGTCTCATGTTTATCCTTTTCTTTTCCAAGGCAATCCTTGTAATAATATTAGTTCTAGTCAATATACTTGATTAGTAAGAATATTTTAGGAAAGATAACACTTATTTATTATAAATAACTAACTTAACTAATTTTCATAATTTATTCAAATTAGTCAACTAGCTCTTATGTTAAGGATCGAACGTAGTATTTAAAAAAAAATTATAAATTTAAGAAATAAAATAAATTGAGATCATATCTTTAGAATTAAGTTCAACTCTAACTAATTCTTATATTAAACATTAGAGCTATTGTTTCTTAAATTCCATTTAGCATGAAAAACTTGTGAGAGAGTTTTATTTTCGCTCTAAAATGAGATTATTAGCAAGGGATGGAATTTCTCTCTAACATTGGCGAGGAAGTTTTGTCCAGAATGGACATTTGATAGGACAAAGAAGTAACAGCTGAGAAAGAAAAAATATCAAGCAATTGGAAGAATTATAATTATTATTATTATTTTAATGTTTGGGCAGCCATCAGCCGAAAGAAAGTCCAAACAAGCGCTCATCCAATACATATAAGATATTAAAAATAAAAACAAAAACCGAGGACTTAATTATTTAGCCCATTGATCTATGGCATCATTTTTCTTATTTAAAAATACCGAATTATATAATGCGTTTGAGGTTTTTTTTTTTAATATAAAGGCAATTTATTCAACCATATAAAAGGGGTACAAGGATTGGGATGTTTGGGAATCAGGAGAAGTACTTTTTAAAAGTACTTTTTTATAAATGGAGATAAACTCTTCTATATATTTACTTCGTATATTGTAAAATTACTTTTGAAATTATGGTTTGGTTTCTATCTAAAAATTCGAGCAAAGCTTATATGCACCGAAATGATGGGCTGGCCCAGAATTGTGAGAACAGGCAAAACATCCCAAACAATACTGGAGCCCAGACTCGAGCAAGACCAGCTGGCCTAGGTAACAGTAAGCAACTTGGACCCAAAGGGCCACTCCTAGCTCGAACCAGCCATATTGCCATCATGCATGTCCTGCCCAAGAGCTCTTCTGCAAAGAAGGGAGAACTTGAAATCATGAATTAACCCATCACGAGACCAGAGCCTCACGACGTCTGCATCATAGCGGGTACTACTTTGAGTTCTTAATATAAAATCTTATTTAATTTTTATTTTAATTTTAAATATATTTGATTTTTATTTTAGTTTTAAATATAAGATTCTAATTCATTTTATCTCTCATATTTATATATTTTTATTAAGATAATCATTCTAATAATGGTACTGTAGCTAATATATTTGATTAGTAAGGATATTTTAAAAAAAACACTTATTTATTATGAGTAACTAATTTAATTTTTTTCTTAATATACTCAAACTAGTCAATTAACTTTTATATTTAAAACTGGAGGTAGTATTAAAACTTTCCTTGATATGGCACTTCAAGAAACACGCCAATAGTAAGGAACTTGCATTGTTCGCATGACAAATAAAAGACAAAGTTAGAGCTGAGTAAAGAAACTGACCCAATTCAAAAGAATACCTGTAAACAACACTTGAGAAAAAAGCAAGCAAAAATTAAAGTGCATAAAATAAAAAGAAGATTCAGATCAACCGGAAAGCCATTGAATGATCG